TCAGCCTCTCAGATCCAAGGGATAGTTGAGCAAGAGGAGGTTGAAGCACAAATAAGGGAGCAGATGCCAAGGGCTCCAAAGCGTGCTAGTCGGTGTAGCAAGTGTGGTTCCTTTGCTCACACCTTCAAACACTGTACAGTAGATTGAATAGTATTGTTATATAACACATTTAAGTCTCAAAGCAATCTATTAAGTATTGGTTGAGATAATCAGTGTTAAAGGTGGTAGACACGTAATTCGTGGACCACGCCGTGGGGTGGACCGCGCTCTGGTGTTTGACGTTAGTCATTGAACTGCTATCCACGACCAGTTCCTGCCCAGGTGTATTTCATTACCGTTCGCCAAAGGGTGCCGCAACAAAAACATCGAACACACAGTAGCTATCCGAGGTTCTCCCAGTCGAGATGAATATTGTCCGTGCCGGGGCTTCGTCGATATGTACGCCGAAGACGTTCGACTGATTAATTCCTACTGCCAATAATAGATCAAGATCGCTCCAAATATGAATGGGAACGCTCTTCCGGTTGATGTATTATTAATTCTAGCAAAACAAGATCACCTCGACAGCGGTACTGATCGAATCGACGACGTTCACGAGTCTCGATCGTGAGCAACTTAGTTCCCATCTTCCGTGGTCGATAAAACCCTGATCTGATAGATACTGTGAGCTAAGTTGCAGCAGGGTCTTCATGGTGGCGTCCCAACGGCACAGCACTTGCAAGTCGCAGGCATCGAAACAGCTGCATGGCGTTTTTGTTTATTGCTCGCGTGACGTGCGTGAGAACGCTTCCATACGACGTGGGTAAGGGATCATTGTTATGAACTTTTGTCAGCATCCAGGTTGTTTTGACGGACACAGAGTCGGTGAGAAGCTTTTGGGGAAGGCCCTCGTTTACATCTTTCAGACTTGATGGCTCAGAAATCTGAGCTACCCTTCTTCTAAACCACCTATCGCAGCTGTAGCAGTGACTTCGCAGCAACAGCAGCAGCAGAATCGCAGCAGTACCCTTGAGGCCCTGCGTCGAGGTTGACCGTTCGTACACAGGGTCGCATGGCTCGCATTGGCAACATGTTCGCACACCAGTCCAATCATCAACGCTCTCGGCGAGTGCGGGAACTTAGTCGTTGTTGACGGGCATGTGGTGTGGGTCTCCACACGTGGGATGAGCAGTCGTGCCACGCCCAGTCTGGGAGAGACTGTTTTGCCGCAAGCGACAGGACCCTACGATGATCGGTCGTCTGACAAGTACGTCTGCTCCGCAGCTGGTTGGCTCTCTGTGAACATGCGAAATCACGAACGAGGCACAGGTGCTGGGTTTGAGACGAGCTCGCTCAAGCCTGCAAGCATAATGGAGGGTTGAAGCTCTCATCTCGACTCCGATACACATCCAATAAAAGACGTTCGCATAATCACCCAACACACGCGTGGGGGTCTCGATGTGGGCAGATACACACGCAAGGAAAAGAAAAACCGGGATGCACAGGATGGACTTCCCGATATAGATGATTGACCGACTTGTATCCGTTCTTGTCACAGCCCTGGAGGTGAAGGATCATGTATCATGTATTGGAGGTGGAGTGAGGTGACGAGAAGTTGTGGTGGGGACAGACCTGTCAATTCGCCGAGGTCGGCCTGGGCAGAGACGCAAAGTCTGTGCCGCGTCGCTTGCTTTTGCTCCGCCTTCGCAAACCCAGGCCGAAACGAGTGTGATTGCCATTTGTCTAGGCAGGGCTTGAATTTCTTGGAAGACTCCTCCTTCAGATTGTGTTTGATCAGTCGGACGATGTCGGCGCGTGGTGTAATCTGATCCGAATGACCACGCTCGGCTTGCCTATCTGATGGAAATCTAGAACTTCGGTCAAGGCCGTGCCGAGTCCTGTCGAGTTTGTTGACTTCATCTTGTACACGGCCCAGGGTGATGATGTCCTTTTTGCGAAGCTAATGAGCGCCCGGTGTCATGGGCGACGAATGCTCACGCCACCGGTCACGCTGACGGCCGTGCCTCTTTTTATTACATTTTCGCCGGCGAGACTGCATTATCTGATCCATGTCATTCATGTCCATGTGACCCTTCCCTCGAACTTCAGATGGTGTTCTGCACGAAGACTTCAAGTGTAGAGTATAGCAGGCAATCAAGTAACATGGAAATCGAAGGGGAGCGACAGGCAGTCTACATATCGTGCATCATCTCATCTGCAGGACCATCAGATCGGGCAATCGCACCATCGTTCCTGTACCCTATGCATCTGCACAATAGTTTTCTTCATCATGATCATGTACGGCTGCAGAGCGTGATCCAAGACAAAGGGACACTCGGGTGTGACGGCGCACGCACTATCACGTTGGATGCCGCGCAACGTAATGAATGGCTAATAAAGCGTGGGTATTCAGGCCGAACAGACCGCAGGGCTGCTAACAAATGAAGAGAGGAACCCAAGTGGTGGACAATGTGTGCGGCCCCCGAAATGCCCGCGACGCTTCCTTTGCGACTAACGACCCGCTACAGGACAATCCTTCGCCAGCTTGCGACTTCCCAACTCTACTACTGTTCCGATATTTACACCGGTAGCTATTCGATCAGGGTCCTGTCCAACACAATGCTGAGTTTTCTTTTTTTCTTTCGATCGCCTGCCGAATGCCACATGATCGTCTACAGTAACGACCCCAGTGGTTTCGCCTGGCGATGCGTCGAAAATATCCCTCCGAGTTATGCCCACCCGAGCTTCTTGGCCGTCGACCGAGATTATTCCGCCCTGTGTATGCTACATCATGATCGGCTGGCAGAAAGGCAGGATGCCCTGTAGAAACAGGCACAGTACTTTCCCGGGCGGGTCAATGTGTGCATGAATACCCGACGAACTAGATCACGGCCCATGTGCGTTTCTTAGTATCGTACCGTATCGTATCGGACTTGCCATGTGCTCACATACAGTAGTGAGAGTGCCGGCGGTGATGTTGAGAGGTTTCGTCGTCGTTCATGTTCCTCCACGCTGCCGCCAAGGATCGAGCCATGTGGTGTGGCTTCCAAGGTTCCCACCCGAATGTTCGCGCGCTTGGGGCACGTTACAGTCACTAGAGCCGAGTAGTCCGGTGTGTGTGTGTCTGGCAGTAACAACAACACCCGCAATGGTGATAGAGTTTTTGCGTAGTGAAGTTAATGTCGCCTTTCTGGCTTCTACGGTGGGACCTAGCGTGCTTCCATGCTGCCCTTCCCGCCTGCATACATCTATATAACAAGAAGAACCATCTCTTTATCTGATCCATCATCTCGTCCTCTGGTCCGTCTTATCTCTCCACCATCTTTGTCCTCCACTGGTGCGCCGCCCATTGAGCACGCCCTCTCTCTCTCTCTGCCACCCGCTCTCACAGCAACGAAGCGCCCGCACCACGTCTATACAAAGTGACGCACCTCAAGCGTCCCGTTCCTCATCATGGGCGTCATGGACATGTTCGGCCATGGCCGTCGTGAACGCCCCATTGTCGAGAACCGCGAATTTTCGGAGAAAAACCCCGGCACTTCCGACTCGGAATCGGACAACCTCAGCCTCGAGGCCCGCGATCAGAAGGAAGTCGAATCCAACCCCAACCAAGTCACCGCCGATGCACAGCTAGGTGTACAAAAGGCTGAAGCAGCGGCATTGGTATGGAGCAAGCCTGCCGTTTACGCTACCTACGGATGGTGAGTCCGCTGTCGTCGTCGGCAATGTCTAATCTTATCAGATCATAACATATCTAATCACGTCTTCGCAGGATTTGGGTATGCTTTTTCATGCTCGCCTTCCAGTCCGCCATCCTCTTCCAGGCTGGTAATACCGCTTTCTCAGTATGGGCCTCGGCCCCAGCATATGGTACTGCGCAAGTGCTTTCGGGTATCATCGGTGGTATCATCAAGATCCCGATTGCCAAGGTGCTCAACCTGTGGGGTCGAACCGAAGGCTTCCTGGTCATGTTCGTGATCTACGAGATCGGCATCATCGTGTTGGCGAGCAGCAACGATCCCTATGACTACGCCGCGGGATATACCTTGTTCCTCATCGGATACGACGCGTTGTACATGATCCTCGACATCTTCATCGCCGATACCTCGTCGCTGCGGATTCGAGCCTTCACTTGGGCCTTTGCCAATACACCCTTCATTGCTACCGCCTTCATCGGACCCTTGGCCGCACAAAGCTTCCTTCAGGGACAGCCATGGATGTGGCGTTGGGCGATCGGCGCGTTTGCCATCATTCAGCCAGTGGTCTTCTTGCCGCTGGCCGTCGTCTTCAAATTCTACCAGAGGAAGGCCGCGAAGATGGGACTGTTCATTCGTCAACGCAGCGGACGCACCGTTTGGCAGTCCATCGTGCACTACTTTCACGAATTCGATGTGATCGGCTGCATTCTCATCATCGCCTCATTCGTCCTCTTCCTCCTCCCTTTCGCCTTGGTCGCTCAAGCGAAGAACAATCTCGCGGCGGAGCCGAACTACAGCAGCCCGCTCTTCATCGCCATGGTCGTCGTCGGAGTCGCCCTCTTCCCGATCTTCGTCGCGTGGGAGCGCTTCTTCGCCCGCGTCCAATTCATGCGCTGGGAACTGCTCAAGAACCGCACCATCCTAGGCTCCTGCGTCGTAGCCTTTGTGCTGTACTTTAACTTCTACGCATGGGACAACACCCTGTTCAACTTCCTGCTCGTCGTGTACCGTCTGAACCTCTCCGACGCCGGATACGTGCTCCAGATCTACAACGTCGGCTCCTGCTTCTGGGGTCCCATCTTCGGGCTCTGGGTCTACTACACCTGCCGTTTCAAACGCTTCTCCCTCATCTTCGGCGCGCCCATCTACATCCTGGGCACCGGGCTGATGATCTATTTCCGCACCAACGAGGGTCCGCTCGGCTACCTGATCATGTGCCAGATCTTCATCGCCTTCGGCGGCGGCACCCTGGTCATCGCCGAGCAGCTCGCGGTGATGGCGGCGTCGGACCGCGACGGGATCCCGCTCATGCTCTCGCTGATTTACACCTTCACCAGCGTCGGCGGCGCCGTGGGGTCCGCGGTGGCCGTGTCCATCTACTCGAACGTCTGGCCCGCGGCCTGGGCGCAGAGCATCCCGGGCAACAGCTTCGACGCGGCGACCACAGCCTTCGCAGGCGGCTACCTCACGCAGACGGAATACGCCATCGGCTCGCCCGAGCAGATCGCCACCAACTTCGCGTGGGGCCGCACGCAGTACTACCAGTGCATCGCGGCCACCGCGGTGTTCGCGCTGGCGTTCCCGGCGATCTTCGCCTGGAAGAATTACAACGTGGATCGCAAGCAGAACAAGGGGACGATGATTTAGATGGACGAAAAAACAAAACGGGTTTCCTTCCATTGGGATATGGCGGAAGGGAGGGAATATAGGAAAAGAGAGTTGTTGACAGCTCCTCGGTCTGGAGGGGAGATGATTTCTGGTTTGGCATCGCATGGTTTTCTTCATAGGGGGGGGGGGAGTTTCGGGTCCGGGTTCGTTCATGCCATAAGAATTTCCCAACTTTGACATTCACGTTCGGCGATATGTTCCGATGCATCGTCTACACCTTCTCTCCTCTCCACCTGCTCTGTCTCCGAATCTCCTCCACGGAGACATACGTCCATCCCACATGCGAGAACCGCTCATCATCCAGAGGTCGGACATGGTCATGGTCCTCCCCGGAGACCTCGGCCAGACAGGCCAATTTCTCGATGCCGAACCTCTCGATGTCCGCGAGCGCTTGGATGTAATGCGTGCCGACCTGGGTGATGCTATGGCTGTCGTCGGAGAGGGTGAAAGCGCCGCCCATGGAGAGCCAGAGCTGTTTTTCGAAAGAGAGATTTTCCGTCAGCGATTGCCTGTCCTTGATCCCTCCTCCCAGCCATTCTCTCATGGGAAATAAGATAAAAGAGACCGCGTCCAGAATGAAAAAGAAATTAGACTCACCTCGCAGATCTCCCCCATCGGATACGCCTCCTTGAGTCCCTTCCTCAGCCCGCTCGTATTCACCTCCAGAACGCCGCCATAGCTCCTGACGAGCTCCAGATTCCTCCTCACCCTCCCCCACACGCTCTCCCACCTCCGCAGACTCCCATCGGGCTCCGCGCTCTTCAACCGGATCAGATCCAGGTGCCCCACGACCGGCGGCTTCAGCGCCGCGAGCATCGCCTCCTGGGCGTCGAAGTAATCACAGAATAACTTCTCCTCGCTCCCGCCGCTCCGCGCCACCGCCGACGCGTACATCTCGTGGTCGTAGTCGATCGGGATGCCGTGGACGTGGTGCACGCTGCCGACGAAGAGGTCGAGGCCGGGCGCGGCCGGGTTCGACCGGGCGCCGTAGCGCTCCAGCAGCTGCTGCGCGCGCGCGAGCGAGTCGCCCGCCGATATCCACTCGCATTCGAAGCCCAGGAAGAGGTTGATCCGCGACCCGTGGGTCTGCCGCAGTCGCGACGCCTCCCGGATGAAGTCGTCGTACAGCCGCGTCAGGCTGGCCTCGCTGGCCCCCGACGCGGCTTCCTCTGGGTAGAGGTCGCGGCTCGACCGCGGCATGTGCTCGGTCAGGCAGAAGGTCGTGAGGGAATTGTCGATGGCGGAGAGGATCATCTCTTCGAGGGTGTGGGTGGCGTGGGCGCAGAATTGGCCCGAATGGGAGTGGTGGGAGAAGGGCATTTTTCTCTCTTTCTTTCCTTTTCTTGGTATTGCAGGGACTGAAGTTCTTGATCCTTGTTTCGGCCTTGGTCTTATGAAGAAGGAATCTGGACCTTATCGGATGTGAGAATTTTGGTGGAGCTTGAAATATCCTTCAGGTGGACAATTTGAAGAGTGCTCTCTGCGGAAGATGCGCCTTGATCAAACTCGACGCCACGCTGATTCCGAAAATGAATCTCTCTTTCCTATTTATATGTTGAGTTTTGATGGGTGTGAAAGGTCGGATGTTGGATATATTGGAGGTTGAAAGTGAAGAGGCGTGATGTTTCATCTAGCTTGACAATTTTCCAGGGACGCGCCAATGCCAGTGACCACTTCGCCGTCGTACACGGGCTAGAGAAGATGATATACAACTCAAACATTCAACTCGATTACTCTCTCGAATCTCGTTCTCTATCTTGGCATCGGAACAGGATATTTGTTGTATGGTAACAGACGACAGCAAGCCATTCGTTACCGAAAGGTCACGGACATTTGGATCATCAAGAAAGCACACCCATCTCATCTCATCACGTCCAGAAACCCCGAGTGACTCTCCCATCTCACAGGCCGACCATCACGACATATCGACACCATACCTCTCGGCCGTCTCCCCGACATCCAACGCCACCAAAAACCTCGAGACGGCGTTATACCCGGCGACGGTGGCCGTGATCTCGACGACTTCCCTGTCGCCGAACAGACGCCTCAATTCGTCGAACAGCGGCTGCCTCACGACGACATCCCTGGTCATGGCATCGGTGTACCGCAGGACGAGGACATGCCTCCGGTCCGCGAGTCCGTCCCCATCCCACCTCTCGTCCCTCAACCTCTCGACCATTTCAGCACTCAACGCGCCCGTCTCGCGGAGGAGCGGCTCGTGCTGCTCCCATTCGAACCAGGCGCGGTTCAGGGCCGCGATGCGACACATGATCATCTCGCGCAGGGAGGCGTCGATCGTGGTGCCGGTGCGTACCGCGCCGAAGAAGGCGTTCCAGCCGGCGAGGATGGGCGGCGAGTGCAGGAGGGCGCGGTCGAGGGCGAGGAGCGGGCCTCGGCGTCGGGCCCGGGTGTCGGAGAGGATGGCGAGGTCGGAGGGCGTGGCGTCGGGGAGGTGGGATTCGTCGACGTAGGGGAGACGCATGGTGGTGCGTTTGAGGTGGCGGGATCGGTGACGGGTGTTTTCCTGGAGGCTCTGGGCGGTTTCAGATCGGAGCGAGGTGGATGGTTTGGAGATGGGTGAGGGAGGAGGAGCAGGGTTGTGCTGTGCTGCATCTACCTGATAAGTCATGGACCGGGAAGCGTTTACCATGTCTTATTATATCTCATCACGAAGCTCTCGCCCGTGTTGGTTTACCTTGTACTTTTGCTACAGTATCGGCAAACCCGCGAATGGTCGGCACTGTATTGTCATACTGATTCCACCAACATTGGGACAGGCTTGCACGCATCTCCCTCCTTGGAGATGAGGATCTCTCTGTATCTCGCCCAGCTGGAGCGTGAATAGGAGATGGATTGCAACGTTGATACACGTGAAGACGATGGGCCTGTTGATGCTATTTATTTATCAATGATGTTCTCATCTCTCGCTTGGAGACGGCCCTCTCCAGTATATACTGTCACTGTCACTGTACATGCCCGTCCCCATGGTTGGCAGTTGCGAGTTCAATGGTCTCGGATTTTTTGCATGTGTCGATGACGTCGCCTCCATGGTGGGGCATCTCGCCGATGACTAAGCATGCCTCCGGTCAATTCCCTTCCATTCCGGTTGGCTTGGAGGAGAGCGACAGGAAAGAGGAAAGAGGGAAGAGGAATTGGAAGATGATACTGTGTGTACTGTAAAGAGAACCTGGCCGGAGATATGTATGTATGAGACACGTGACAGCGCAATGTTCCTATGTGTGAAGTATTTCCACCACACCGTATTATAATTCTCTCTTATACTAGTATGTAAATAATGAAGACGAGAGGAGAGGGACGGCAATGATTATATAAGCCGGAAGAGATAACGTACCCTACCACCGAGCCGGTCACACCACCGAGCCGGTCAAAACGCGCCCACAACGCGTCTTCGAGCTTCTTCCTCTTATTATATGACAATATTTGCCTACAATGCTCTCT